GTTAGTAAAACTGATTAGATAAAAAGACTACACTTCACAGACTGTTTTATATTGTTCTGTATGTTATGGTATCATATATATATATATCATACTAATTATTTTGAAATTTCGTAGTTTGAAATTTACAATTCATACAAATGTGTTTAATAACACTAAATTATAACAAACTGTTTTTAGATTTGTGAATTATTCTACCTGCGTTTTTAAAATTAAAATCGATAGCCAAGTCTTTGATTACGTTTAGTCGTTATAAAAACCGATTCAATATTATTTTTAATTTTTACATATCTTTCAATCACAATCATATATTTTAAAACATGAATTAATCTAGAATTGATTAAATATTAAATGCTATTTACTATGAAATGCAATGATAAGTGAACTAAAAAACATAATTTTTATATATTATATATTCACATTTTATATAGTACAGAAAAAGAAAATATTATATTTAAAATATACCAAAAATTCTAATACTGATGTCTGATGACCAATACAATTTTGATGAGTTAATTTTCTTTACAAAAAACTTTTAAATCAAATATGAAATAGAATAATCATTTTCTTTTGAAATATTAATTTTTTTAAAAGACGTTCTTAAAAGATGTGCATATTTCATGAAGTGTGATGTGCTCAGATATTAAATTTCTACACAAGCCAATAAACTAAAAAACCAAATAACATACCTACATACAAGATACTCAATATATACTGTTAAAATCCTCAATCGCATCCTCGCGGCTATATTTAGAATACGTGTTTATTGTGAACTCTTTCCGACTGGAAATGAAACTATACTTCAATATAATACCACAATATAATCGATTCGTCGCTGTCATTCCGGTCTATATACATTCGATATTTTGACGTAGCAGCTGCGTCTTGAAATTTCTGATATTAAATAAACTTTAATTTAAAATCTAGATACTAGGTTTAAAAAAAATTAAATAAGATTTTGAGCATATATAAATACTATATTTTTTTTCTAAAATGTTCAAATAAAAAGGATATTAAACTTATATTATAATATACTTAAGTCAAGAAACAAAAACACAATGTAAATTTGATAAATGTTTTTATGACAAACCCATAATATGTAATATGTAATATGTATGGTTTGTGTTTAATTTATTAAGTTGTCCATGAAATATTAAATAAATATAAGTGTGAACATATAAAATATAGTTTATCTAGAAAATTTGAGAAAAAAGATTAGTCGATTTACTATCATCCTTATAAACAAACAATACGATTTGCTCTTTAATCCATGATTTTTTGTTTAACCTTCTGTTAAAAGATAAATCTATTTTACAATAAATTAAAAAGTTCAAAAGTATAACTACCTATGTATTTTGTTTTAAAATGTATTTCGTATATTTTCACGATAATAAGCAAAAAAAAATTTTGTTGCATTATTGTAGACGTACAATAAATTTACATATATACAACAAAGTGAGTAGGGACCTATAAATATATGCACAATGTAATAGTAAAACGTATACTGTATATATTTGAACAACCATCCCCACCACTATACTTATTAAGTGTCACGTGCACTTTTTTGAAGTGATCCAACCACTATAGTATTTCAATATTACATCATACGCAACTATACACTAAATAGACGCTATAGTTAACAGCATAATTAATATCCATTATAACGTCATGATAACAACTAAATAATTATATAGAATAATAAAATATTGATCTTCCATATACTATTATAAACTATATGATGTTATAATTAAACACAATAGGATTGAATTTTACGTAAGTTTAATTATTGGATTAAATTGTATTATGATAGATGTTTAAAAATAAGGAACATTAAGTCTCATTCTCTCATCTATTCATGATAGATGTGTCTTCATTAAAACTTAACAAACCTTTTACATCATACAAAAAAACTTAAAATACCTAAATAAATAATTTAACTTATAAATTCTATAAAAAGATACCAGCTATTTTTTGTACTAAATGCTTACATAATCATTAAAAAAAGTCACTATAATAATAGATTTGTTAAATTTGAAATCAATGATAAAATATTGTACTCGTATGAAAAACCATTTTTAACGGAGGTTATGAGCCAGTCTTTATTTCTATAAAAATATCTTATAATAATCTATTTATAACACAATTATAGTATTTAAATAGTACTTTTTTATATATATTTATGAAATAAGAAAGGTTAAATTATTTTTTGTTAAAAACATCGCATACCTATAAACTTCCAAACAAAATATTAATTATTGCAATATATATAATAATATATATTATTATTTCTACTTATAACTCTAGTTATTAATATAAAATTAGTAGTATGATAATAACTTAAAATTATTCTATGTGGAAATTATCGTTGCGTATATAATACTAATAAACGTAATGATGAAATGTTTCAAATCTCTTAAGTTAATATTTATTGAATTGCAATAAAATGCCTATCTAACTAAAATCATTTTAAAAAGAATAGTGGTATTTTTTTTCTTTCAAATAATACGCACAATTAACTATGTAAAATTTTGAACTCATGTGCTCAAATAAAAATTATGCATTCATGATGTATTTTCATTAATTAAAAATGATGTAAAAAAAGAACCTTGGATTACATTTTCAAATTTTTTTATCAAAAAAAAAAAAAAAAACAAACAAACAAACAAACTAAACATTTTAAATGTCTATAAATGGCTTTAAAATATTTGAAAATTATACATTGTATCCACGTTTAAAATAATACAAATATTCTGTGAAAATTTCAATTATCTATGATAATTCAATTTTAAATAACAGCAAAAAATACGAAGTATAGCCATTCTTAAAGTTAAAAATTAAAATTTTAAAAGTAAAAGTTCCCTAATTATATAATATTATATTCATATTATAGATATTTTTATAAATTATACTGCAGTCATAAGGCTTGGTTAGTATATAAAATTAACAATCGGGTATAGATATCTGTATTAACGAAAAACAATAAATAGTTTTTTTCATTTTTGAACATAATATTATACTTGTTTAATTATATATTATATGCAAACCAAAAAAAATATTTTATTAATTAACAAAAATATTATCGTACCTATTATTTTTTTTTCTACAAAAAAAAAGAATAATAAATAATGACAATTATCACAATAATACAATTTTTATGAAAAATAATCAAATAAATTACGTCATATATTAAAAAAATAAATATATTTATTCCTCATAAACCCATTTATAAGACTATTCCAATAACATTAAATTTAAGTCCTTACAGTAATTTTAAAATTACGATACTATGAAATAGTTATTGAAATAGGTTGTACATAGGAATATCATAAATTAATCGTTAGCAATTAGTATACATCGTAATATAGATGTTATACATATATTTTATTACATAAATACCAGTAGTTAGTTAATTTAATTTTAATAAATTAAAAAGTATTAAAATAATTATTTTCAAGAATTTTTTCTTATTCTTAATTAAAATATTACGATATCAAATAGGTATATAAATATAAAAACATCACTACTTTTTAATTCCAATCAATTACGTTAGATTCGTTAAATGATAAGAGAGAGGTATGTTAAAAATATGTTTTTGTTTAATATTTATACATTCAAATTTACCCTATGCATTATCTAAACTTTAAAGAGTTCTAAATTTATTTATTTAACACACATCTGTTAGTTGATCCATCAACATCATAATTTCTAACAAACAAAAATTTGTGTCATTCAAATATACATAAAAAAATATTGTTACTCGTTTATAGGAAAAATTATGGAAAACGTAAAAAAAATGTATAATATACATATTACATTATAGGTTCATTCAAACCATATCAAATAGATAACAATTAAATCAAAACCATTATCTAAAGAAATAATTATTGTTTAAATTCGAATATCGCGGTGTACCTATTAAACTAATGTAATAATTAAGCATGTATGATAGGGTTACCATTTTTACTCTTTTAAAATCATAAAAATATAGAATTCTCAATTTTTTTGTGAATGATATAAATAATGTACTTTCTTATGACCTTTTATATAATAATATTTGATTATAAAGTAATATATAAAGTCATTATTGTGAACAAATAAAATTAAAATACACGTATCTATATAATATTTTACTGCTATAAGTTATAAATTCGAGTTCGGAGAAAACATTAGTCAAAACTGTAAAACGTTATTAAGCATTACAACAAATCTGTTTACAATCTATTGCAACTATATATTTCTGTACCAACTTATTAACTAATTAAAATGATATATTTCAATATTTTTTCGCATTTTACGAAAATACAAATAGAATAATAGTATCAATTATTTTGCTATTTAAATAAATTAATGTGTTATGAGAAAACTTTAATTTTAATTTTACAATTTATATACTATTTTCGAATAAATAATATCTGGTAACTCAATATTATTTGGGTGTGTATACTTCACGTAATTTCTGCAATATTATTTTTTGGTGGTATATTTTTAAAATACTATCTATATAAATATAATATTATTAATATTATAAAATTACCTAAATAGGGTTTCCTCTACATACTCAATATCATAAAAATAATGTCGATAATCATTGTGTACACGAGTACACGACACAAATGACAAATGTGTACATCATTAAGTAGAAACCCCCTCGAACACTGTTCTTATCATTAAGGTATCGAAACCTTTGAAAACATCTAATAAAAAAACAAATGTTTTCCTTAATAACATTGCAAAATATGCCTGTACCCATGATACATGTACAACCATATCTGACGCTACCTATAGTTTTCTTGTATGTACGGTTCCATAACCGAATTTTGTTTTGGCTATTCGCCGACACAAACACACCTAAGCATAATGATCGGGTGTACCTACTCGGGTCGTTAAACGCAGGGGGACGTGCGTTTTATTTATATTACGTACAATATATAGTCAAAATATCAGTTCAGCCCGTTCGAATTATTATTATTGGGTTGTTAATAAACGAAAACTTCAGCACTTACCAGTGGTGTTTGTGTAAATGCCAAATGGAACGAACGTCGAAAAAAAAAATATTACACCGCAAATAAATTCTCGAAAAAATTTCGTCGAAACACACACACACACGCGCGCGCGCACCAAACACCAAACCCGCGAGCAACCGCAACCCGTACAGCAACCGGTCTCGCACGTATACTGATATGCCGACGGACAACGATCGCTGACGAATCGGTTTCGCCGCCGCCGCTGCGCTACAGCTCCTCATCCCAACGGGCGAGCCGAGCCGGTCGTCGTCGTCTTCGTCGGTCTGGGTGCTCACCACTTGCTGCCAACCGAACCGCGGAACGAACCGGTACACGGTTACGCGCGCGCGCAATCTCCAAGATTCAACCGCGGCTGTCGCGCGCGTCCGCACACCGTATGGGTGCCAACGCAACGGAACGAAAAAACATGTTTCATCCCTTACGCGGATTGGTTGGCGTCACTGCTGGCCCGCGCGCGAAGAACGCATTCCGGGGGAACCCGATTTTCTTCCCGTGCAGCTGGCGGTGGTACTCGAGACGTCTAAATCTAGACGACTTCGCTGCTCGTCAGTGCGCTGTGTATTGTCGTCACCGTGACCTTGCAGGCGGTCGCTTTGAATGAACTAGTACAATAATGATACGTTCTCGGCCGCAGAGGTATGTGAGCCCGTTTGAAACGAATGGTAGATACCTTCTGCCACACATTTAACACGCGTCGTGCACTGCCGAAAGACTACAGTACCTATCACCTATGATATTATTAGAAATTATGACGAAACGCGGCAGGTGAAATAATGATACGCGCTGAATGATTACGAAATTTTTAATGATTTTTTTTTTCGAATTTTTGTGATCGATAATATCATTGCGGTGAAAACGAACGTGTGAGATTGACTTGACCAGGCGGAACGCTTGTCAATATTCAACTCACGATATCTGATTATCAATACATATTAGATCCTATTCGAATTAAAATCGTATACAATGAATACTACATTATGCTCAAAAACATGTAAGCGGTAAGCCCTACACCAAACCCGATGGGTTTTGGAGTATAATTATAAAGGTAAATGCTTCGATCCCCGCAACACCGCCTAACTACAAAATCCACACAATTATATTAATGTCACTGCAATTTAAAGCTCTTATATTGAATACAATTATAAACATAATAGTACGAGTACCTATGTATTTCCATAATAATAAATCCATAAAATAACTATAACTAAATTTATTATAGGCTAAATTGAATAAAATGTCTTATTAAGGGCTTTAAAAGGATTAAGATGCGTTAATCCTTCATATAAACTACGCTATTCTTATTTACATACATATATGTTATGATAATTACAATGTAAATTGTAGGTACTTACTACTTAGTAACTTCTTACATTGATATATATATAATAATATAGTATCTCTACATTCTTTGATCAATTAATAGAAAAATTGATTTGGATCATTAATGGTTATTAGCATGTAGCTAAATTCATTCAATTTTTTTTAAGAGCTAATAGTTTAAAAGATATTGAAATTTCCCCAAAAAAAACGAGTATGTAAATATCTATAGTCACAAATCGAATGTATAATTCAAAAATATATATCTATGTAGGTATAAGTATACCTATATCCATTGTAATAATTATTATTTTTTTTAAAACTTATTACATATAAAAACATTACGTAAAAAAAGACTTGTTTAAACCATGAAACCTAGTAATTATTTTCAATTAGGTACCAGATTTTTTTATTGTTTGTCAGCACGCTGCAGCTAGTTATGTCATTAAAATAATATATTACATTTAGATATACGTTGATGGTCTAACGTCTATTATAAGATATATTTTATAATTATTATGACAATCGCAATATACGCAAACAAAATTCATTAAAAATCGACGCGTCAGCAAAAACAAAAAGTTAATTTCTTTATTCTTCCAATGGATATCTATTTATCTATAGGTACCTAGATATCCAGTAGAGGATTGTGTCACCAGATGGCTAAAAAGTTTCCCGCTGGGCCGAAGCCCAATCATGACTCTATGATCGACCCAGTTATCATAAAATTGATTTTATAATTTATTATATACTTGAAATTGCTTTTTTTTATTTTTAAAAATATTTTTATTATCTATAACGTATTTTGGACACGTCTCTGATAATGGGGAGAAAAACTAATACAATTAAAAATAATATGATTACTCGACGAACTATGATAAGGCGGTTAATGGATAATATGTCAAGCGTATGACTTCGATTGTAGATTCAACCGTGCGGTCAGGTTAATAAACGTGAAGATGAAACCCAATAAATTAGGGAAAAAAATAAAAAAACTATCATATTAAGTTTTGGACTTGAAGTATGTTTTACCTTATTTTGTAATTTTTTGATACGATGTCACTGTTTATCAACAAATATTTGTTGTAATGACTTATGTTGAATAACATATCTAAACTTGAATATGACATAATTAATTGATCTATATATTTATTCATTTATATGTTAATAATACTTGTATGGTTTAGGAATGTAATAAATTAGAAATATTAGATCATATATTTAACCCAACTAAAATGATTTTTATTTTTTTATTTTATTACATTTCCACTAAATTATTCGCATTTATGTTATTTTGGGACGGTGAAACTTAATTCTCCCGGGCCGGTTAAAATTCAAAATCCGCCGCTGCACGTACCTATAGCGTGTTGTCATCTTCTATAATTTTGTTACCACTGCCGAGCAAAATATTATTCTGTCTTGTTAAAATTATTGCTGTTTTCAGTTTTGTTTGCAAATGAATTAAAAAAGCCGTAAACACACAGTGTCGCCGTTGCACTTCCCGTGCGGACAACTCATAAATAATAATAATTCTCCTCAACATAACTTAAGTACGCCGGATACCAGTACACCATCTATATAAATGCGTATAATATTATACCGTGCTTTTATATTATACATACTCATAATGCAGTGTCGTGAGGTAGTCATCTTGGCGACCGTAGGTCGTTTTGTGAAAATTGTTTAAAAAATAAAAGAATTACGCTCAGTGTCTATCCTGTGCAAACATTTATTATATTTTATACTTTGAGGGAGGAGGCCTCATATTTACGTGGGATGTTTGTTATATATAGGCACCCCACTACGTATATAGCAGACGAGTATGTATAGTTTGGTATAGAGAGTATGGTTTTAGTATATTTTTACATGTGGCGTACACCTCTACCAATATCTTAAAATGTATACACAATAATCGAAATAAATATTTACATTTTGTATTGGTAAAGAATAAAAACTATTGGAAGTAACTACCAACTGGTAAGAATGTATAATCAAATACTTGCTGTTCAGTGTGAATGACATTCGGCTGTCACAACGATTTTTTTACACTTACGATCAGAATAAAGCCTAGTGAAGGGTGAAGAACAAACAGATAGTCTGAACGATGCGGCTAAATCTTTATAACCCAATTTGCGCACGGGCTATAATAAATTATTTTCCAGCAGTAAACAGTTATCTAATATTATGATTTTTTATTCATCTGATGTGAGAAACAACAATTTCCTACTTGGATTTCTTGTAATTTTCCAATCTTAAATCTTCGTTATCAGAATTTTAGTATACTGCTAAAATTTATTTTCACGATTTAATTAAAATAAATTCGTAGCTATTTTTTTGTTAATTTGAAAGAAATATTATATTTTAATAACCACCGAAAAATCTCAATCATTGGTTGATTATATTTTAATATTTATTATTATATATTGTGATATCAACCTAAAAACTATATTTTCACTTTATTTATGTTCAATGATCAACTAACATGTTTTATTACGGACGGAGTCGAGTATAATTTATTTTAAAATAGGACAAAAACATTATGATTTTATATTACCTATAGTCATGGTGTCTATCACAATATACTAACAATTGGATAGATTTTAGAAATACGTTGTTTTTCGGTCAGCATCGAGAAGATCGCATGTTTCGTATAAATTTACTTATAATACCTATCATTCTGAAAAAAGGACGTTTAAAAAAATACTTCTCTTAATTTGCATAACTTACGTATATATTATCAATATAACATACATTGTATTATACAAGGTCACGTTATATATTATAAATTTATATTGTAAATTAATAAATACTCATTGTATAATATAGGTATATAATTATTTAAAATATGCAAAAATTCAAAATATCTACATTTATGTATAGGTGCACCATTTTTAACGAGACCGTGTTCAATGTTTTTATAACTACTATATAATTTGATATTTATCAACTGCATTTTTCTTAAAAATTACTTTACTGATGAATTTCATATTGCCAAACGAGGATGAAATTATAAGTCTTAGAAGTACATAATAAATTAACTTCTATAAAGGTAACGCGTATCTCATTGTTTAGTGATTCGAAAACCTTTAATTGCAAGAAACCATAGGTAATTTATAGAAGCTTTCTGACTTCCTATATAGGTAGGTATGCAATAAATTATTGTATGTTCGTCTAGGATTAAAACAATTTGTTAACTTTGCAAAGAAATTCTTAAGAAATACTAATGTTCATATTTTCATGCATATAAGTAATTTATAACGAGTGATATACGATGGCGAATAGACCTTTTCCTTTAACACGATTGCGAATGTTTTTACCTACCTTTAATTGTGGGGTGTTGCCAGATTTGGTGTTAGTCAATTACAAATTTTTAAATAATAATTTTTAAAATAATTAGAAAGTAGGTATAAGGGTTTTTTGTTATTACGCTATCAAAACAATTTACATAACCCTATTGTCAAAAAAGATAAATCTAAAATTGAATAAAAATTAAAAATTATAATGGTTATAATTTATAAAATCCACAAGGATCTAATTTCATATTTACTTAAAAAAATAAAAATAAGAAATAAAAAATATAAAAAAACATTTTGAAAACTATTATTTTTTTATTTTTTTTAGTTTATACCTTATGTACTTAACAGCATTATTAATATTTATACTCCGAAATTTTTAATTAATCAGCATTTAAAACATTTCATATTATTTTATATAATTTTATTTTAGTTTTAACGTACAATGTAGCATTGTATTATTTATATCGAATAGTTTTTATTAAAAAAAAATTTTGATTCAATTCCCCAACAAAATAAAACATTTACAGAAATTATAAAATTGGCAACGTAGCCTATAAAAACGTTCGTTTTTCGGCTAAAAAAAACTAATTTTTTGATAAGTGACATTCGCTCGCAATCGTGTTGTATCCATTTATAACAG